TTGGGGCCAGTTGGCTCCGTTCTTAGTGGCTTTTGAGGGGGTTCTTGCCCAAAGAAGGCTTGAGGGAGAGGGCCCTCGGATCTCGCATATTCACAAGGTAGCACCTCAGTAAACTCATACTACCTCACCCTGCTCAGGCGAGCTCTGGGAGTCCCTGCCCTAGGCCCTGACACTGCCCCTGGTGGGACTCAGCAGCACCCTGGGCTGTTTCACAAGCGAGTGGTTTTAATTAACTCACAGAGCCTTTTTGGACATTGATATTTATTTATTTTTGCTTTTATATACATAGTACCCAGCATCTCTTTTGGATAAGTGACTTCAGGAAAATGAGTTTCTCCCCAGCAAGTAGCCGTGTTCCAGGGGACAGTCCTGCCCAGAGATTTGAGAAACGGGGGCTAGGATGAGGGAAGGTGTCAGGCCTTTAAACAAACAAGTCCTTTTCTTTCTCTCCAGAGAGTCTCTTGCGGAATAAGCCCAGGGGAGCCTTTAGGTAATGGATGTGAGTTCTGGAAAGTTGGGGCTTATTAAATTCCTAGACCTTTCCTGCCTGCGCTTGAGTAGACTGGGGACCGGGTTGAGGGGAACAAGTTAAATGAAGGACCTTTTTTTGCACATATTCTCATCCTTCCTAAACTTGGAAAGCTATATTAAGATATACAGGCAAGCCAAAGCTCCGTCCCTGTTGGACTTGCTGCCTCTCTCCCTAGCCCTAAATTGATAAAGCCTCCCAGTTGGGGTGCCTGGCTCTCTGGTGGGTTGGCTGTTACATGAAGGGATTTGTACAGCTGGCCATTTTTCGCCATCTAAACTCAACTTGTTACATGTTCCCTCAGGTCATTCTTGTCAGGAAAGCAGTGCTGAGACTTTTCATCCCTGACTGGCTTCTCCCTTTCTTTCCCACAACTGACCGTTGGAAATTTAAGAAGGAAAATGTGTGAAAGACCACCGTCAAGTATCTGCTAAGCTTTTCAAGGCTGAGTGATCCCTCCCATTCTGTTGATGAGGACTGATTTTTGAATGGTCAGATTTGAGAGAGGCAGTACTTCCTAGAACCCATACAGGTGGCCAAGCATGGATCAGTGTGCTGGAGAAACCCTTTTCCTTAATGGAGGGCATCGTGGATGCTGGGTAGTCTGTATACTTAACCTGAAACTGTGAAGTTTTCCCTTTTTTGCCAGTAAACCAAAAAGCAAATCCTTGAACCTTTGCCCCTGAAACACTAAACAAAAAACTGCACCCCCTGATCCTCCTGAGGCCAAGTGGTTGATCGGGGTGGCTTGGTTGGTTGCAGTCAGACATGTAGCAGGGTCAGTAGCTCATGAGGCTTATTGACCAAACCCTGTTCCTCTGCTTGTCCCCATATTTGCCCTGACCACCCCCCACCCCGTTTAGAGTCATGTTTGCTGTCTCTGCCTCCAGCCCCCCCCCCCCTTTTCCGAACTGTTTTACTTGAAACTCTTGTGTTGTGGCAAAGGGCACTCTGGGATACCTGGTTGAAGGTATTCATTTTATTTTGAGTTTTTAAAAATTTTTTTTCAGCCTTCTGTTGCCCCCTCTGCCTTGGAGCCCAGTTTAGCAGTCTGCTGTATTGTTCTGAGGTTCTGTCTGACCCCTGAATGTCTTTTCTCCTCCCTTCCTCCTCTTTCTTGTTCTATACTCAGGACCAGCTATATAATCTGCAGACCCCTTTGTTTAAAAATGAAGAATTTCAAGATGGCGACTGTAGAGCATTAAACCAAGCATGAGGCTATTCCCAACCTGTTTCTTAAGGGAAAAAGGTAATACTTGTATGGCGCATTGGAATAAACAGCAGAGGCTGCTTATGGCCACAGGAGGGGATCCGTCTCCCGCTTCTCCTGTGACCCGTTGCTGGCTCACTGATGCCACAGTGCCCACTGGGAAGCTCTGCTGTATTGTGGTATTTGGTCCTACATTTTAAGACCCCAGCGAGTCTCTATAGTTCGTGGCTAGGTGGAAAGAACGGAGGTGGGGGTTGGGACCCGGTGACCCCTAAGAACCAGGAAATGGGTAAAAGTTCTTTTTGACTGTCTTCCCTTCTGATCCATCAGCACCCCTTTGTCTCCAGGACAAATCTTTGGGCCTAAATACCTTCTCCCCAGTCAAGTTTTGCTACTGATGAATTTTCTTCGTCTTCTGGCCTCTTGCTGTGCCCTATTCCAGAGACTACTCAACTTTGGAAGTGAATTTAAATCCTTTTCTAGGTGGACACTGATTTTGTTGGCGTGGGAGTGGGCTGTGTGGAGAAGTCTGCCCATCTGGAGGTCCCCACACATCCTTTGGCCTCAGTCCTGCTCTGAGTGAGTCGGGAAGTACAGTGCACACAGCATTCATTTCACTGTGATCACTCACTGTCAAACTTAACATCAGAATGAAAATGGAACTGTTTTGAGTTCGATGTTTCTTTAACACCCTTCCCTGTCCAGTCCAACCTCCCCTCCCACCTCCGCTAGCGAAAGTCTCTTATGAAACCGAGAAGAGTTGTTGACGTCTAACTTCCTTCCATTAAATTAATAAGTACTGACCTCCTAATATTTAAGTGTTTACTATCTATTGCTGTAAAGTTTTGTATATTTTGTAAACTTCTTTTCCCAAATAGTAGATGTCTAAAATCGTTGTACATCTGATTCTTTTATATTCCATTGTTCGGCACAAAGTGTGGTTTTTATTTAGAATAAAAAAAGGAAATTTGAAACGGGAATTCTTTTCCTATTGACTGGGGTTACGCTGTCCCTTGAGTTCAGAAGATCGGGGCCCAACACCCGGTAGTAGCAGCATTCTGCTCAGCAGATGCCAGGATTCCTTTCTTTTTTTTTTTTTTAGGGTTTTATTTATTTATTTCAGAGAGAGAGAGTAAGCGAGAGAGCACAAGCTGGGGGAGAGGCAGAGGGAGATTTTATTTTTAAGATTTTTTAAAGATTTTATTCATTTATTTGAGAGCAGGAGAGCAAGCATGAGCGGGGGTAGGGAGAGGCAGAGGGAGAAGCAGGCTCCCCTCCAAGCCCGACCCGGGGCTCTGTCCCAGGACCCTGGGATCATGACCTGAGCCAAAGGCAGATGCTTAACCAACTGAGCCACCCAGGCGCCCCCATAGTTTCCTTTCCAGTAGTTGGAATTCCCCGGGGTTAACCTGCTGACCTGTTTTTAGTGGCAAATTAAATCAATAACCCACCCTTTCCAGGGGAAACCTCCCTGAGGGGATCTGTCCTGCCAGCGCCATCTGATTCACTGATGTGGTATGTCAGAGAGGAGAGAGGCGGGTTCAGGGAGGAGGTAGAGGTTTGGCACGGTCTCATGGGGTTGCTAACCAATGTACCTGCACAGAGAAGGAGGTAGACCTCAGAGGTTGGGGCGCGATGTGGTCCATCTGGTCTCAGCACACAGGCCAGGCGTGGTGCCCATTGTGCTCAGTGAATGCTGAGCAGAGCAGCCTTGCTGCAGTCAGCATAGCCGGGGCTCTGTCCTCCCCGGGCCCCAAGGAGGTGTGCATGCTGCCCAGGGTGATAACTGGTTGCCAGAGAAATCCATGAGAAGAGTGAGCTCCTGGGGGGCTGGTCTCTGAGGTAACCCACGATGTGACAGCTGTGACACTGGGTTCCCTTTTGGAAACTTCTGGAGCCTGAGTCAGCAGAGGCAGTGATAAGGGCATTAGATTTTGGCTTAGTTTTTATGTGGGCACAAAGGAGGAAAGTCTTTTTAATGCACTTTCTGTATTGTTAGGTTAAGCCCTTACTGCAACGCCAAGTCACAACCTGGACTCTCCTGGTTGAAAAAGCCTGCAGCTCTGTTCCACGGAGCAGCTGTCTGTCACTTCAGACCCTTTCAGATTTGGGTCCGGTGAGCAGGATTGTCAGGGCATTTCCCTCTGGGCTCCGAACAAACGGGTACATACACTGTTGGAGCACGTGTTTAATGCATCTGATGAATAAAGCTTCAGATTTCTAAGAACAGAGGGGATGGCGCTCCAGGTCAGTAAATGGTTATTCCAAGTTAAACATTCCAGAAATACTGAGCACTCGAGCAGGACAGAGGCTCTCAGTGATGGAGTTCACAAGCCCTTCATTCTGCCCAGGCAGGATTAGGATGCCAAGGACTTGGAACTAGTGAGGCGGGACCGGTTCTTAGGCTTTTTCTTCATGGACATGGTCCTAGATTCCCAAACTGATAAATGAGTCTTTTCCAGAAGACCTACTTGTTAACAAGAAGGCTTCTTTTCCTATTTATAGGACAAGCGTGAATAGAAGAAAGTTGCTGGACAGGAAAATGAAGGAAAAGACCTGGCGGGGGAGAATGAAGTTTAAGGGCGAGGACCGCCTTAGAACACCAGAGTTCTGCCCTGTGACGGAATCGGAAGTTGGGGGACAAGGGCTGAGGGATGGCCTCTGGGAGTGTCTGCCGCTGCCTGTCCCAAGGTCTGCTCTCAGAATGGATGTCCCTTGATATTTTCCCATGATCTAGAGAGAAAGGGAGGGATGGGGTTGGGTGTCTGATAGCATCTCTTCCTAGAAGTCTGGAAATGTCCTAGACCTGAAGGCGGGAGCGGGTGGGCTCTGAGGAGCGGTGACTCTGGGATGGCTGCTCTGCCTCGTGGGGAGGGAAGTGGGATGGATGAGGGGAGCGTATCAGCAAGGAAATGGAGCCACTTCCTGGATGGTGGGGGGGGGGCGGCAGCAGACCTCTGCTTCACCCCCTCCATCTATCATATCACCGAGGATGCTAGGAAACGTCCTGCTGCGGCCTCCTGGTTCCTTGGCCTCTGACCTCTTGTCCTCAGAGCCTGCACAGGGGGCGGGGGGGGGGGGGGGGGGGGGGGGGGGGGGGGGGGTCAGCAAGCACACAGGCACAAAAGGAAAATTGTGTGAGGTCCCTGCAGAGCACACTCTTTCCGGCCAGGGTGATTGTTGAAAGGAGTGTGTCAAGTTTCTGCTGAGCATTTCTTTAGCCTATCCCAGTGGAAGTACGGATTTTGGAAAGAGCCAGAGTCATGGCTGTCTCTGTTATTTATTTCACCATTTTTCCTGAGTGTCTTCTTTGGTCCTGAGGACCGAGACAAACAGTACAACACCAAAGACCCGTTCTCTGCTCCTCCCTGCCCCTCTCCTCCTCCCCATCTCAATTTTTTAAGACATACTCAAAATTGACCGTGTGCGTTTTAACCCTTTCCCCCTACTCCCCCCAAAATCTCTCACCTACACCTGCAGCTTTCTACTTCACCGATGGAGAGTGGGGTCTACCTCAGCCTCCTAGGAGACACTGAGGGGCGGAGATGGGTGAGGTAGTTGGCGCCTGAAAGTTCAGGCTTGGTGGTCCTGGGGGCCTGCTGCAGCGGGCTGGCTGCTGTCCTTGGTGATGACGATGGAATGCTGAGTGGAGGACGAAGACGAGGAAGCACGTCTGTCCGCCCTGGCCCGGGCCTTGGGAAGGTAATGGACCACAGCACTCAGCAGCTGGTCCCGGAATCTCGGGCTGAGAAAGTTGTAAAGGAGAGGGTTGACAACACAGTGGAGCATGGCGAAGCAGTCAATGACGTCGTAGAAGAAGTACAGCAGATGGACCAGGTAGCAGTGAAGGGAGATGTGGGTCCCGTGCAGTGTGAGCAGGAGCAGGGTCACGTGGTAGGGCAGCCAGCAGACGGCGAAGATGATGACATAGGCACACACCAGAAGGCAGTGGCGCCGGCCCTCGGGCCATCCTGCCTGCCGAAGGCGGCAGGCTGTCAGCACGTTGAAGACCACCATGAGCGGGAAGGGCAGCAGGAAGCCCAGGACGGTGGTGGACAGGGCCACCGCCAGGGCCCACGTGCTGTAGGTTTCAAAGGGCGCCATGAAGAGGCACATGGGCTCGGAGCTCTCCACCAGCTGGATGTGCACCACCTCGGGCAGCGGGATGATGGCCGAGAGGACCCAGACTCCCGCACACACGGCCCGCCGCATTCGGTGCTGGTGGCGCTGCCAGGAGGGCGACGTGTTGGTGAGGGTGACGTAGCGGTCGATGCTGAGGCACACCAGGAAGAAGATGCTGCTGTACATGTTGGCAAAGTAGAAGTAGTGAGTGAAGCGGCAGGAGAAGCTGCCCCAGAGCCAGGTGTAGTCCAGCATGACCTCCAGCATCCACACGGGCAGAGACAGGACGATGCCCAGGTCTGCTATGGCCATGTTGAGGATGTAGAGGTTTAGCAGCCCTGCACGGCCCAAGCAGCGCCAGTTGACACAGATCACCAGGAGGTTCTCCACCAGCCCCACCACAAAGATGGCCAGGTAGAGGACAAAGAGGATCACCTGCTTGGTGTCCTCTCTGAGCTCCATGTGGCACTCAGGCAAAGTGTGGTTGAAGAAGTAGAGCAGTTCGTTCCAGTTGTGGATCTCTCCGAAGTCACTGGCAGGTGCCGTGGTGAAGCCTTGTGTGGGGGCAGGCCCCATGTTGTCCTTGACTGACATTAGGACCAGCGAACGCCTAGTGGGGAGAAGAGAGGGTTGGAAGAGAACGGAGACCTTGAGAGCAGCCTCATGTCTCAAGTCAGTGGGCCCCAGGGACCAGGAGGCTTTGGGAAAGGATTCTGGGTCTGAAGAGGCAAGAGAGAGAGTTTAAACACTCAAACTGTGGAGAACTAGTACACAGCTCACTTGCTGGCCTTGACCTGCGAGCAGAGACATTTTGTTAGGGCTCAGTGGCGCGAGAGAACCAAACTGTGCCCAACCAGACCCCTTCCCAGCCCGTGGGGGTCCCACCGTAGCTCCGGCCACAGGCTGCCTCCAACCTCCATTTCTCTTCTGGCACTTCACCCCTTGGCCCTTTCACATGGGAAGCCTTACTCTGTCTCGCCTTTGGGCTATGGATGAGGGACACACACACACACACACACACACACACACACACACAGCCCTCTCTCATTTATCCCCAGGGACATCTATGGATCATGCATGAAAGCCAGTTTGTCTTCTCGCCCTGATTCCTTTCTTTCCTGAAAGGGAGACACCCACCTGCGTTTGTGTCAGGAGCGCTTCTAGCCCTGGAGGACCGGTGGGTCTGGGCTGTTGCGGAGTCGCAAGGAGACTGGAGGGATGGTGGCCGTGGGGCTGGCTTTGCTGTGGGCTTCAGGGCCGTCCTTCTCATCCGGGAAGCAGTATCACTGGCTGAGGCTCTGTGGGAGAGGGTCAGGGTTTTTCCTGCCTTCCCCCAATCCAGATAGAGGGGAAGTCACAGCAGATGACCCAGTGTGCCAGTGGCAGGGAGGAGTCAGGCTGGAAGAGTGAAGATCCCGACTCGACTCACTAGCTGTGTGAAGCTACCTCTTTACGCCTCAGTTCTCTCCTCTGCAAAATGGGACAATACTATTTACTGTTAGGGGTGTTGTGAGAATTGAGTGAGCCCACAAGGTGAAGTGCTTAGCACAGGGCCAGGCCTGTGGTAAATGCTTTCCACACGTATGTGTTTTCCGCTCTACGTGGGCTTGGAATCCCACTCTCCCGTGTCTGTTGATTCCTACTAAAGCAGAACTGGATGGGGGTGGGCAGGCTAAAATCAATCTGAAAATCAGCCAGACTTTCAGGCATGCTGCCCTTCCCCACTGGCTCACACCCACCCTGCATTTTGGCTCTGAAGGGAGAATCTGGAGAGAGAGAGGGAAGACGGTGGGGGGGGTGGGGACTGGAAAGGGGGCTGTGTTGAGCTTCAGGGAGTTTCCTGGATGGGGAGGGGAAACACAGCATCCTTCCCCTCCTGCTTCATACTTCTCATGAAGTGTGGCCAAGGGTGGCCCAGAGAGAGACAGGCAGACACCAAGCTTCTCTCTCCTTTCAAGCCCTAGGCTAACACTCAGAGCCCGTGGATTTGTGTCGTCCTGTATCAGCAGAGCTTCCGGCTTCTCAGAGCACTTTCGCCGCAGTTAATCATTTGATCCCTGAGATATCCTGTGGTTTCCCCTGTGGGGAAAAAGGATGGGCTTTTTTTATCCCCTGTTAAGCCCAGAGAGGTCACCTGTCTCACACAGGCCACCCAGTGCGGATGGTAGCCACCTGGAGCCGGGCCATGTTCTGTGGGCTGTAGGGCCGAGGGTGTGTTGGCCAGAGGGGACTAGGAATGCCTATTTAATCAAAGTGAAGGTCCCATACCAGTATCAACCAGTCTAAAGTGTCCAGTTCAGTGACATTTAGCACATTCACGTTGTTGTGTAGCCACCACCTCGATGCAGATCCTCACATTTTCATCACCCCAAAAGAAAACCCCATGTCCATCAAGTATTCCCTATTTCCGTCTTCCCCCAGCCCCTGGCAACAACCATTCTGCTTTCTGTCTCTGTGGATTTACCTGTTACGGATATTGAATATAAGCATGTGACCCTTGTGTCTGTTTTCCTTTTCACTTTGTCATCCACACTCTAGCACATATCTGTACTTCATTACTTTTTATGGCTGAGTAATATTCCACTGCAGGCTATGCCACATTTTGTTTATCCATTCAAGGAGGGGAATTCTTTTTAAGTTTGCTAATTGATTTTTTATTGTGGTGAAATAAACGTAACATCAAATTTACCATTTTAGCTATTTTTTAAAAAGATTTTATTTATTTATTTGAAAGAAAGAGAGAACACGAGTGGGAAGCAGACTCCCCGCTGAGCAGGGAGCCTGACGTGGGGCTTGATCTCAGGATCCTGGGATCATGACCTGAGCTGAAGGCAGATGCTTACCAATTGAGCCCCCCAGGCGCCCCCCATTTTAGCTACTTTTAATTATACAGTTCAGTAACATTAAGTAAGGGGTGTCTGGCTGGCTCGGTCGGTAGAACATGCAACCTTTGATCTTGGGGTGTGATGAATTCGAGCCCCATGCTGGGCATAGAGATTACTTAAATAAAGAGTAAAATAAGTATGTTCACATTGTTGTGCAAACATCACCACCAATCTTCTCCATGAGAGGGGATATTTTTAATTTTGCAGTTTTCTTAAGCCTCCTATAGAAAAACTGGTTCTCTACTCACACTTCTGACACCAAACATGAGGGGTTTTTCCACCATACCAACCAATTTTCCAACCCCCCGGACACCAAGTGGGTGTCCTAAAATCTATCATTTCTGACACCAACCTGAAATTAGTGTCAGACTCCCCAGGTTTAAGGGCTCAGTCCCACAGGACTGTTTTCACTTTAGATACTGGTCACAAGTAATGGGTCCCCAAGGTACCCACACTTCTGTCCAACATGGTTACAAAGTTCCCACAATCCCACCACCCCAGTTTCAATAATTTGCTGGAGTGGTTCACAAAACTCAGGAAAACAGTCACTTTGTTTACTGGTTTATTATAAAGGATACAAACGAACAGCCAGATAAAGAGGTATATAATGTGAGGTTGGGAAGGGTCCTGAGTTTTGTACCCACAGAGTTGGGGTACAGTGCCCTCCTGGCACATAGATATATTCACCAACCCAGAAGCTCTCTGATCCTCATAGTTTAGGAATTTTTATGGCTGCTGAAACACATAGGCATGATCTATTATTAATTTTATCTCTAGTCTCTGACCTTATCCCCAGAGGATGGGAGGTGAGGTTGGAAGTTCCAAGCTTCTAATCAAGGCTTGGTCTTTCTGGGAACCAGTCCCCATCCTGAAGCTACCTAGGAAATTTTCTAAGGGATTTAGGAGCTCAGAATTGGGGGCTGATATCTTTCTTATTATGTCACACTTCTACTCACACATCAGACCTCCCCTAGATCAGAAATCTGTCATGATGAGCTATGACAATGTAAAATGTGGTTTACTTCGATTTTTTTCCCAGACTCTTCTACTCTCTCTCTCTCTTTAGGATCTCAGTTTCTATCCTATGGATATTGTTTTTCAATAGGGAGCCTTCTGAGAATTCTCACTTCCTCCCTTGTACCTTTGACCCATGCAGATGGAGGCTCTACTAGACCAACCCTCCAGGAAGACCCTAGTTCTGGTCTCTGTTCTCTCTACACATTCCGACTCATTGCCATTTCCATTCCTCTCAAGACTGCATTTTAGTGGTTCACGTCTCCTGGGTCTCCGACTCTTTCATCCCCGGACCTTTTCCCCCTCATGTGGAGACATCACCCCCTGCAGCCTCACCTCCACCTGCCCCCAGGTCCCCTGCCCCCACATCACTGAATGTGTATTTGCAGCAGGAGGAAATGCTGGTGGTGCCTTCTGACTGAGGCACAGAGGGAAAGCTGCTCCCTCAGGAAGAAATAAGCGACAGCTCTGCAGTTTTCATGTGGCTGTTTTTCTTCAGAGGGAGGAGGTGTGCAGCTGGAAAGAGAGAGATTGGAGGGAAGGGAAAGACAGAGGGGGCAGGACCCAGGCTTCTTGCCAGCCTGAGCGGGGCGGGGGTTGGGGGGGGGGGCAAAGAGCTTTGCTCCAAGTAACAGAAACCAGCAGCAGCAAAACAATTCCTGGAAATTTGCTCTTTCTCCTTCCTACTCCCCCCCAACTTTTTTTTTCCAAAAAATGTAGACAAGACATTGTAATCAACAATCAGAAAGGAAGGAAGGTACCAGGGAGGAGTTATTGGAGACACAGATAAAAGCAGGCAGCTTCCCAGGGTCAGGTGGGGGCCAAGGGCTCGTGCCTGGACCCTGGAGGAAGGGGCTGCACAGGCCGGCCCAGGAATCCCCCCATTTGGCCTGGCCTGTGTGACCGAGGACCCTACTTCATGTGTGGAGGGCCGATGGACTGTGGACCTGTCCAGGCTGTGGATTTTGACAACGATTGTATTTCCATCGCCAGCCTAGTTTCCAGGAGGTCACTGAGGGCAGAAGCCAAGCCCAGCCACAGAAGTCATTCTGCTGCCCTGCCACAGCTTCTCCATGCCAGGGAGGCAGACTCGTCTGCCCAACGGCACCAGATAAGGAGCTCCCCAAGGCTCCCCAAAGAAGGAGGTGGTCCAGCGACCCTGTCCTTGATTCTGCTCAGGTCTTTCCTGCTTCCTCACTCTTCACTGAGACACAGTGGAAATAACACTAGTCTGGGGACCAGACCTGGCTTTGCACCTGGTTCTCCCACTTAGTAGCCATGTGACTTTGCACACCCCCTTTACCTTTCTGAGTCTCAGTTTCTTTATATGTGAAGTGAGGATAAGGGTTATTGTATGGGATGCAAGAGATGAGATATGTACAGTGCTTGGCATAAGCATGTCTCTTTCCCACTTTTTGGGAGTGAGGAAGAGGAGATCCCTTCTTGTGGAATTACCTTGAGATACCTCTCCTTAGTCCCACCACTCTGAGCCATTCTTCTTTGAATTGGATCAACATCAGCTTCCTCTTTTATTTAGTTGTCTGGTGTTGTGCTTCTTACACAGAAGGTCAAGAACATCCCCAATGCCACTATGAACTACCACAAAAGAGAAGTAGTAAGAGTAACAGTTAACATTTATTGAATACTTCTCATTTACCAGGCATAACTGTGAGATGTTTGACATCGCCAGGTGCCTCATTTAATCCCCACAATGACTGAACGAGGTGGCTACTACCGTGGACAAGGCTTCTATCATATCGTGAGGCACAGGGATTTTAAACAACTTGCCTGAGTCCCAAAGCTAGTATTTCAGTAAACCCTTATTACAGGGATTCTTGACCTGGATTCCTGGCACCTAATGGCTTTAGGTGGTCTGTGAACCCCCTAAAAAGTATATTTAAAATCCTGTATGTTGTGTTAAGTCATTTTATGGGGCTTAGAGTCTTCTTAGATTCTCAAAAGGGTCCATGATGTCCAAAATGTTAAAAATGACTGCCCGTGAAGCATCTCTCATGGATGCAGCTAGGATAAAAAAAAAAGTGGGGTATGGCATACGCTTCCGTGGAGGTGACTCAGCCTTTGGAATTCTGGGACATTTCTTGAGTGAGGGCGAAGTCCCGTTCATGGGATGACCTGGGGAGGGGTTGAGAAAGGGAAGGTGAATGATCTTTGCTTCCACAAGACGAAGGACAACCGTTTCCTCCCTATGATTTTGCAAGAGAGTGTATGTGGAGGTGTGCAAGTTTAGTGCAAAGATGAGGAGGCTTGGAAAGACTGGAGACTGGAAGGCCCCCAGGGAAACTGGCACCACCCAGCAGTCTGGCTGAGAGGCCAGACGTCAGCCAGGCTGGAGACGGTGATCCTGGACGTCACCAAGACAGAGCATCTCTGTGGCCGCCCAGTGGGTGAAGGAGCCTGTGAGGGACAGAGGCACCACCCAGATTCATTTGTGTCTCTTCATTGCTTCTCTCTGTGCAAGGGAGACCTCTCTTCTGCTAGCTGGGAAGATTTCCAGGATGTTTTCCTGAACTTGAAGTCATACTAGCTTTCTTCACCTCACCCAGCTTATCAGCAGAGCCTCTTCTCTCTCTCTCTGCTGCCCCCCCACCTCGAGACCTTGGAGCTCTGGAGCTTTGGGGAGAATGTGCCCTGATGAGGATTTGCCCTCCCAGAATTCCTCTTTATGGTGCCTTCTCTCTCTCAGCAGAAGTTCTGGATTTCTTGATGCTGAGTGCCTAGGGAGGCTCCCTTTCTGGAGGAGGAGCTGAGACAGGGGACCTGGCCTGAAGGCTTGCATCGGTGGCTGGGGACATTGCTGGAGCTGGGTCCTGCTCTCAGCACTTCAGCAACACCTCATGGTATGCTGTGAAATCGTTTCCTACATTTTATTCATCACATTCAGTATAAATAATGTCTCAGTAAACTTCTTTGTCATGTTTGTCCCCGAGGCCTCCCAAGTCCTTGCCCCTCTGCCTGTCTGCCTTGCAGGAGGG